CGTCATGAAGGACTGAAGAACTGGCATCGATCCGAACCCAGTCAATGGCTGGAAAAACCCATCCCTTTGAAACGGAATTTGTATTTCCTAAGGAGGAATCTATAAAATAGGGAGGGTGGGGAGAATACAAATAAATTAAATCTAAAAGTAATCCTCAAATCTAATTAAAGCCAATACTGGATAGTGGACCTGTTTAAAAATAGAAAAATAAACTATTGAATGTCTCTCCATCGTTTTCTCTCCTAACACCCTAGTGGAGATACTAATGAGTAACAGAACGGCCAAAACGTGGACAGTAAGAAAGCCGGGAGAGGAGATCCTGAAGCAACTGCATACTCAAACCTGAATTCACTCGACTCTATCACAGAAACAGAAGTGTCCTAGCGATGGGTTATTCTAGCTCAAATTACAATAGCAGGAAATTCTGAAATCATTATGGAAAGATACACCCCAGTAGACAATGACAGTTGTATGATTTACCCACAGTAGACTGGCATGACCCTCCTCACACCACCAGAGGAACAGGGGAGAAAACAGGTGGTTTTTCTGTCTTTAAAAAAGTTTATTCTTCAGATTGTGGCACAATCTGAATTTTTTAAAGACTTAAAGATTACTCACTGTTTGACAAATGTTTGGTCAGACTCACTGTACAATGTGTTCTAATATGATTCACCATTCCTAAAAGGGGGAAAACCTACTTCCAGTTCTGAAGTCAGGGACTTCTGTAACTTGATTCCTCTGTAAGGGGACTTGCTTCTGGCATCGGCTGCTATTATTCTGTCAAATTTTGTTCTCCTTTCCCTTTAAATTTCTCTTGGCTGCACTCTATTATCCCACAGACCTTTAGGTTTTCCCTCTTTGTAATTCGATGCGCTATTCAGCAGTGTTCAGGAAGCTGCCTTGCTTTAGTTTCGCCCTTCTCGCTGCTTCTGCTTTCCTTAGCTGAATGGGTAGCTTGTTTCCCCTTTTAGGCTTTTTCTCTTTTGAGGGAGCCTGTACTGTTTTACTACTGTATTTTAAAGAAAGTGTGGATTTCACATAGTGAGTTGACTCACATGTATAAAAAGGAATATTTAGTTTAATTACTTTGATATTACTTCTTAAAATTCATTTTGTAGAAAAAGCACATTAAAATATATCCCTATCTTCTACCTTCTCCTGAGACCCACCACATACTCATTTTCATCTTTTTATTTAAAAAATTTTTAAAAATGTATCTTTATTGTGTGAAAGTATTACAGGTGTCCCATTTTTCCCCCCATTGACCCTCTCCCCTGGCCTCCACCCCACTATTGTCTGTGCCCATGGGTTATGCATATATGCATAGAACCTCTTTGGTTAATCCCTTCCCACCCCCTTCCCTCTTCCCTCTGAGATATGAGTTTTAATTTTCATAAGTTATATATGAACAGCAGTTAAAGAGTCAAATAGTTGCACTAGAATTATTGCCTCCCAAAAGCCTGAAGGACGCCACACCAACTCTTGGAGTCTTGTAACCACTTTCAACTCCCTTTTGCTGTTAATTTTGGTATCTAAATCTGTACCTCTTAATAACGTACTTATATGGATACTTCTTATTAATTTTTTTTAATTTTAGGTGTTATCTATGGACTTTTCTTTTTGGAAGATTAGAATTTAGTTTTATTTCACTCCTATCCCCCATACTTATAGTCACAATTCCTCTCCATTCATCCTTCCATCATGTTATACCTTTGGTTAGATCAACATACAAGGCTATTTGAACTGAACCCATCTGTTATACAATATTTGCTTTTCTTGTGTTGCCCAGCTTTTTGTGTCTCCTAAAGTTAATAAACTTTTTGTTTCATTTGCTTTGTTTTTTCTGTATTTATCATTAAGTTAATCCCATACTCTCCTCAAGTTGTAGAATATCATTTCAATCCATTAAAACACAGGTATTCATTAGTTTTCTCTTTGAGTCATCAGACCTGCACAATTGATAGCTTGTTATCTTCAATCACCATCAGCCTCGGAGATTCCCTTTTTCCTCTCTATTGAGTTGTGTTTACTTCCTGGATACTATGTTTTCTTCTTTTTTGGTTTATACACTTGCTTTGGTACCCCCTCCAGTAGTTTCCTAAGAAAGGGTGCATAGGAGTAAATTTTTGAGACCTTGCCTGTCTTGAAAGGTCTTTAGCCAGCCTGTACATTCAATTGATAGTTTGGCTAAGTATAGAATTCTAAGTTGGAAGTGATTTTCCCTCAGAATTTTGGAAGTAGTAGTCTCTATTATCTTTTAGGATCCTTATCTTTTGTATGTGATTTTGTTTGTTTTTTAATTTTGGAAGCTTTTTGGGTTTTTTCATTGTTGCTAATGTTCCAAAATTTTTTGGTAATGTGCCTTTTTTTGGTTTGTTTTTTATTTGTTGTCTGGGCAATCAACACTATACCTTTTCCATCTGGAAACTTTTGTTTCCTAAATTGTTTGTCAATAATTTTCTCCTGTTTCTACATCTTCTATCTCTGAAACTTCTATTATTTGAATATTAAACTTCCTAGACTGATCCTCCAATTGTCTTGCTTTCTTTCAATCTCTTATTTTCCCTCTACTTATCTTTATCAATTTTTCTAATGAATTTTTCATGTATATAATTATAGTTTTAACTTCCAAAAGCTCTTTACTATTTTCTAGGTTTTTTTAATTTTTGTGTTGTTGTTTTTTTTAAGAACCCCTTTTTTTTTTCACATAGCCAATAGCTCCTTTTATATTTCTCCAAGGATAGTTAAGATTTTTTTGATCTTCCTCTTTCATGTTAAAGGTTTTCTTTGGAAATAAAGTGGGCTGTATGCTGCCATTTAATAGTAGGGCAATAAAAAAGCTAATTGGTAACTCTGCAGATGTGGATGGACCTTTAAGAATGAAAGCCTAACTGTAGGTTATTCTGATTGTTTTACTGCCTCCATTATCAGTATTTTGAGGTCTATTTTCTTGGACTATTTATATTTCCCTGCTTAGAGGGTATCAGCTTGGTTGCCAGATTCTGTGAACTTAAACAACCAATGCTAAAACTTTGGGGCATTCTGCGGTAAAACTCAAGTTGCATCTCAGGTTCCCCTACTGCTGGCTTAAGTTTTCTAGGGCATACTGAACTTCCCAGCTTCCAAAATTTTGTTCCTGTAATTTTCTCTTTCCTTCTCTTTGTCCTTGTGAATGAATGCTTTAAAAAATTCGTCTGTCACATATGGGGATTAGGGAGAACAGATACATGAATGTGTTTTGCCCTTTATTATTCACTGGAAGTGCCACACTCCTTTGCTCACATCTGGGAAGAAACGCTCTTTCTCTCTAAGGCTACCATCTCTTTCCCTAGCTACTAGTTTTCACATCTTCCACACATTTTTAAACTATCAGTTATCTTTGTCTCCTCTTATTCCTTTCTCAAATAAACTCACTTCCTTCATCCTAAAACTAAACTAAAGCAAACCAAAAATTTAAAAACATTTTTGTGCATCTTACCCCTTTTATGGTCCCTGCTTCTCCCTTCTTCCTTAACAGGCCAGGCACAGCTTCTAGGGAAGCCCTTGTCATAACCCCGGTTCGTTGTAATGGCTCTACCCTCCACCACTCACCAAAACTGCTGTTGCTCAATAGAAGTCAGCATTGTCCTAATGACAAGATTCAGTCACCTCATTTTTTTAAATCGTATGTACCAGCAGCCATGGCCTTGATTTCTAGAATGGACACTCTGTTCTGCTTGTCTGATCTCCTTCATCCATGTGTTAAATTTTACTGTTCTTTAAGGTTATCATTTTTTCCCATAGCACACAATCGTTCTTTGTTTTGCCATCTATTTCTGAGTCCAAATAATAGGTAAAAGAGACAGTTTAGAAGTATCATAACAAAATTTTTCTACTCATGGTACGCACAAGTTCAAAATATTACAAGAAATCATTTAAGATATTATTTCTTTAAAAATAAATTTACCTCACCCTGGCCAGTGTGGCTTAGTTGGTTGAGCATTGTCAGTGCACCAAAAGGTTGCTGGTTTCATTCCAGATCAGGGCACATGCCTAGGTTGTGGGTTTGGTCCCTGATCAGGATGCATATGGGAGGCAACCAATCAATGTTTCTCTCTCACATCGATGATTCTCTCTCTCTCTCTCTCTCTCTCTCTCTCTCTCTCTCTCTCTCTCTC